ATAGCTGTATTTGTGAATAGTACTTTGGCAGATATTAGCTTTATGTTATTAGAATTTAAAAAGCCATATATAGCTTAAAACAGCCTAATTATTTGTTGCTAATTGCCTCTTCTAGTGTCTTAGGATACTTCTAAGTCTAGCACAGGTAATTCTTGTACAGAGTAAACTATTTGTTAAGCCTAGCTAATACAAAAAGGACAATAGATCAAATCTTCCCTACAACCAGCCTATCGTAAAGCTCCTTATAGTATCTAGGATGCTATTGAATTTAAATTTTATTTTTAAATATTTATTTCTTATTTTCAGTTATTTTTATTTATTTTATTTTTCTTTAAATAAAAGATCTTCTACTCGACACTTATCATTTTAAAATTTGCTACAGCTTGATAGTTTTTAGTAAATTTTATTACAATAGATTAGATTTAACATCGATTTATTCTTTAATTAAGCAAGATTACCCCATCTAACCTTTAAATAAACATAATTTATATACTGCTGTTTACAATTTTCATCGAAATGATAACCCTGAGGATTTAGACACTTTCTTAATGCTTCAGACTTTGCTAGGCTAGAAAGAATCAGACCCACTATAGGTGGTTAAACTACATATAGATTCAGTATCAAGAAAACTATATTCACTCTTATGGATGTCATCATCTCAAAGATTGCTATATGAAAATTTTTATAATGTAATATTTATAGATACAACATCAAACACTAATTAATCAAAATGATGTTATGTGTAATCACTGTAATTGATAATAATTACAGGATGAAAATAATAGCCAACTGTGTTATTGAGAATAAAACCTTAGAGTCATTTCAATGAATCTATAAGACATTATTTAAGGAAACTGGAATTGTTTCCAAAATAATATTTACTGACAATGATTCAGCAATGATTAGTGCATTAAAAGCTACATACCCTACTACCAAGTATATGATATGTATTTTTCATATTGATTTGAATCTTAAAAAAAAATTAAAAGGTAGGTTAGGTTCTACATTTGAGGCATTTCGATCAAAGTTTTATTACTGTCACAATAGTTTATGTAAGGCTCTCTTTGAAAGTCAATGGTCAAAGTTGATAGTTGATTATCTAGCAGCAGCTAAATATCTAAATGGTACACTTTATAGCATTAAAGAATCCTGGACAATTTCCTAAATTAACAAAACCTTTACAGATGGTACACAAAGTACTTAGAGAATTAAATCAATTAATTCTCATATATATCAAAAAGTTAATCAGTCGACTTCTTTATACTAGACTAGTCATGGCAGAAAAATGTCATGATCATGTGATCGACAATCAGTTTCTGACCCGGCCTATCATCGATCGACTCAGATTTGTGTCATGATAACTTTATGCAGCAACTAATATCGATATTTGTGAGTAACAAAATTTTAATAATACATATATATACATTCAATAAGTCCTTATAAATCTTATGCAACTAGCTTAATAGAAAAGTATAAATAAATTTATATAATTTAAATAAATAAATTATAAATAATGTCTGTACAAAGTTATAAGTACATTATTAAAATATATATATTTCGGATATATACATGCATTTATAGAGACTGTTAGCAATGCAAATGTTATTACATGTACATTCATGTTTTCTAGTTATTTTATAAGTTCAAAACCCTTAAATTAAAAGCAATCTTTGTGCAATATTACTCTAGAACATATTCATGTCATGAAGTAAATTGCAGCAGTACTAGAATTTTTTTATTTTATTATTTGAGACTGCATTTGTAATTTATAAAACTCAAGCATTGAATCGATTGCCACATATCACAACCAAAATCTAATGATAATTAATGAATAAAAGATGTTAAAATAATGCATGTAACTAAGTAAAACACTGTGATAATATATTTATGACAAAGTATTGCTAAAGTAAATTGTGGCAGTACTAGAATTACTACTAAATATGATTTTTTTTTTTATATTTGAGACTGCAATTTAATTTATAAAACTCAAGCATTTAATCAATTACATATCACAACCAAAATATTATAGTAATTAACGAATAAAAGATGTCAAAATAATGTATGTGGCTAAGTAGAACACCATAATAATATATTTGTGACAAGGTATTGCTGAAGTTCATATAAACATGATACTGTGTAAATATAATCATTCATGACTATTTTATATTTCAATTTTGCTCAAAAATATGATGTAGCGTGAGCATTATATGTTCATGATAATTGGAAATAATTGACAAAAAAATTGCTAAATTGTGGCATAGCATTGCCGCTATATAATGTGACATTTCTATGCTACAGTTAATAATTTTTGCTGTCAACTAATAATTGAAACATTAACATTTAGATATATGTAATAATCATTCATGGCACTTGAACACCCTTATTAAGTAAAATTAGAGATATAAATACTGAGGAAGGATTTCAATCCTTTCTTAGTGTATGTTTTGCTTTTCTAACAATTATAGTATTATAGTATATTAGTAATCTTAGAATTGCAATATTCATAAACTATAAAAATAAACACATTAAAATAAATACAAATAAAATAAACTAGAAAATAAATACTCAAAATATTATTGTCAATGCTAATGAAAGCAAATATTGTTCCTATTGTAAAAAAACTAAACCAGTCATTGAATTTACAAAGCAGTCCGGGGGTAAGACAGTAACATTTGCCAGATGTAATCTTTGCAATGAACAGGATAGAAAAAGTAGACAATATGCTAGAGCTGCTGTTGCTAAAAGTACTTCATCTTTAGCCCAAAGTAGGCAAAATGCCAGAGCAATTATTATTGAAAATACTTCGCCATTGATCCTAAATTATGATGTAAGTGATGAAACCAGAATTGACAATGAAAATAATGAAGACGAACTTTTTTATGATTTTGGTGATCTTGAAGAACTTGTGTCTATTAATTTCAAAGATAGTGAAGAAAAAAATAACCATGTCGAATTTTCTATAAAAGTAAAAATTGAAAAAGAATTAGTTAATGAGAATATATTATTGCCTGAATTTGATCAAAATGAAGAAGCTGAAAAATTTTGTAAGATTATTAATATCATGATTGTGCCTCTTCAAACAGGATCAGGTTATTATTATTTTTTTTTTTTAAATATTAAGATAAGTACTTGTGATCTAGGATTTTATTAATAGTACATTTAGCTAATAGTTGCATTACAACCACAAGGAACAACTATAGAAAGAGTATACAACTAGCCACTCATACAACTTTAGTTATTGTTTAATTTAAGTAGTCCGCCCGAAGGTTCTACACTAGCTGCCATACCTGGAACCTACTTGTAGGTTCCTTATTTAATCACTCTGTTCCTGTATTCACCCACCTACCTACACCTACCAAGATGCCCCGGTTGATATCAGTTCAAATATGCCATAGTCACTAAGTCTTTAAAGTGGTTCACTCACATGAGGAACCTTTGATCTTGTACTAAATCTTCCAGAATCTTTTGTATCCCATTCTTACAGCTGACCTGATATCACTATGGCTAAGACCAACACTGGTGGTCAGGGTATACTATTAAACTGCTATGCCCTTGTAGAGTTTACCCCAACCCTAGTAC